TTACCCAGTTTGCCTTTGTGAAAACATTGGTGACAAACAGGCTTTGGGTAGTGGGATAAATGTGGTACCGAGTCCGATAAGAAATTGACAACCCCACGCACAGAATTGGCATCTCTCGCTGGTATAGGCGTAGATAGATCAAGGAGGAGTTGCTTCTTCCCTGTATTTATTTCTACTCCGGCGGTTGATTTCTCATAATCAAGTAAATGAATAGTATCTTTAGCAAACACGCACTTGGCTTCATGTATCGTGAGGTTAGCCTCATTCAAGCGTTAAAGTACAAGTTTGACGAGACTTGTATGCTCGGCTGCTGTCGAGGTAAATCCAACTATATCGTCTGAGTATAGGACACGTTCCCCGACAGATCAGTTAACAGTTGTATCATTAGGGGGTCCCTATAAGTTTTTACTTCATACATTGCCACATAAAAAAATAATTTCTATGTGGTTCGTATATCTTGAGTTGGTCGAACTCCGCTTTAAAATCAATCATGGTAAAATGGTGGTTCCTTCCATATTACGTAGTATCTCACTTCTCTTTAATACAGGAAAGCTATCTTTGGAGATCAAATAACTAATAGGAGATAAGTCGAGAACAACTCTTGTTTTACTAAAGGAATCATCGGTTTAATCTGATCGACCGCTAAGAGTGCTAGGTCAAAAGGTTAGCATTATAGCTGATTTCTATTAGAGCCTGTATCAGCCAACCTTTGATTTGAGTTTTGTCAACGTCACTTTTTGTCTTAGACACACTTAGTCATGTGATGGACACTTCACTTAGGAAAGTCGACATCTGAGAAGTCAAGTTTTATGTACCTGTTAGATAACTTAAGCAACACCAGTCAGTTGTTTTATTCTGTCTATTCTGTGCTATTAAGGCGTTTGTGTATCACACTGAATACCACATTTTAACTTGAACTGTTGAAGTGTCAAAATAAAGTCTATAGCCTGGAGTAATTCTGTCACGAGGTGGTCCATGTGTTTTGCGAAGTCGATATTCGGTATGCCCGGGACAGTTGACGTCCTAAGTATTTGGAAGGCTGTGGATAGATGTCAGAGAGTTTCGCCGTCATGGGCATGGGAGGGATAAGTAGGCGTCTGTTGAGAGTGTTCGCATTTGGGGAGCCTACTAGCGTTGGCGTGATGAGATGCCCATTGATACGGAGAGGCTGTATTGCATGCAGCATACTCGACGATATCTTTCGGGGCATAGGGATCCCTTGTTTTAGACCGGATTGGCGACCCCAATCATCGATCGCGTTCAGGAAGGGTTGCAACCGAATAGATTGCGGAGCCTGAATGCGCGTGTCATCTACAAAGGAGTAGGAGCGGAAAAGTCTCGGTCGAAATTGCGCAAGCAGAATAGTCAGGGAGTCCATGATAAAAAGCTGTGGACCGACAATCGAATCTTGGAGGATGCCATTCGTTCTATGGAATAGAGGTAAAAGCTTCCCACGATACGTCACATGTGTGGGAACATTCTCGAACAATGCACGGGGACAACTGATCCAGTTCTTTGACATTCCAGCTTGGTGAAACAGCATCCACATGCGCGGGAGGACCACTTTATTGTATGCTTTGGTGATGTCAAGACACAAATCATTCCAGGCATCCTCGGATTGTGTCTCAGATTCTATGAGTATGATAGGAGTAGCGTGATTCAAATCCAGCTTGAGTTACATGGGTGGTTGATCCGGAGTGATTTGTTATAAGCTGTTGGAAGCACTTCTCAAAAATGCGTCGAACAATCTGCGTTAAGGTTGTCGTTCGGAAATTGGCAGGGGATGCAATATCCGTGTCTGCTTTCTTCAGATGGGCTGTCACAAGAGTACAGTCGAGAGCCTTAGGGAATGTTCCAGTCATTAAGAGGGCAGATAATGCCTCAGCCAAGATGCTAATAAGTGGGCTGTCAGGGTCAGGGTGTCCCATAGTCGGGGGTTCAGTTGATCGTTCTATTGTGGCCTTAAGGAGGAGGATATGGATACCATTTGGACCAGGGCCCTTGTTTGGATAGCACAGTATTGCCACCAACACCATCCCCGAGTGAATAATTGCATTCGATGTAGGTGCTGATGCTGTGTCCGGCGGGGTCACGTGGTAGTTAGTTTTGTTGAAGAGATCTTGGTAGTAACCTGTCAGTGCAGCGCCCGAATCCTGGATACCCGGTATACAAGGCTGACGCGGTGATCGATGTTGATGTGCGATACGCTTGTTCGTATAGATGTTGTGTTGGGCAAGATCGCGGGCGGAACGTGCGAATCGGCAGTCGTTGTACCCACGTTTTGTCAGTGTCATAATAGTAACCTCCAAAAATGGCAGGGTTCGCTACGTAGCGCCAAATTCAATATAGTATACGCTCGAATCCGTCTGACGATGATCGTAACAGGTGTCGGTTGCTTACGGATCTCAGCGTGAAACAACAGGGTGCGGACCTTGTCGTGTAAATGATGCTGTCGGTGGCGATACCGGTTGTAGCCGTGGGATGGTAGACTCTGGTGCTGGGGTGGTGATTGAGACGGGGCACTCGCCGAAGACGGATTACTGGTTCATTTGGGACCACCTGAAGATCGAGGCCAAATTTGTGGTCATCGTAGTTACCGTGATCCGCAAGAAGGTATGTTTGAAGAGAGGCTGGGGTTGTTGACCTGTGGTACGCGTGCTCTGTACCGGTAAATTCTCCCGTATAGAGATAATGTAGGCACCAGGCACCGGGAGTAGTGGCATCTACCGTCGTTTTGAATGTGACATATTGGGGTTGAAATTGAAATCACCCCAGACAACATCTAGCTGGAAGTGAGGATTCATGCAGTGTTCAACTTCTGCCTCTGCTAAGGAGTTGAGTGGGAGGTAGAATACAGCCATTGGGATACCAAGAGAAGAAAACCGCTTATGGTGATGAAAGGATGAGGTTAAACTTCGATGGATGATGCTTGGAAAATATCCCAATACCACAGTGCGAAGGATGTACGGGATTGTGTCGTGCAGTGTGATATAAGATTCGAGGCTTCGTGGATGAACGTATATGATTTAGAAAAGTCACATTATGCCAGGTTTCAACCACACATATAACATCAACCTGATCCAAAACCGATATAACATTCAAACACTTATCTGATTTCGTCGGAATATCCAAATTGAGACCTCGTGGGTCAAAAAAGCATCATATGCATAGGTCTTAACATTGGTCGTTCTCTGGCAAATTGATATCGGGTTCTACTGTGTTGATTTCTATGCTCCAGTTGATCTGCCTTCTCCAAGAGTCGGGAAATCGCTGATGGGGTAGTTGGTACAGTTGCGTGCGGAGTCCCTGGTTGTGGGGTTGCCACGCTTTGATTGAAATGCTCTCTCAATGCGCTCGGTTGTAGATTTGAGGATCTCGATATCTACTGATTTCGTCAAAGGGATCAGGAGTAGATCAAGGCTTTGCCGATGATCTCAGGTGCCAAGCCTGCACCGCATCGGGCCTCGCGCTTGGTTCGAAGATAATATATAATTGCTGCTTTGGTTGAATCTGGGTGCATATTGGAGCGTGGACCGTTATTTTCGTCAAGGCGCCACTTCCAGGCATCATTTGCAATTAGTTTCAAGCTGGCTTCGACCTCACCAGAAATACAAATTCGGATGATGCTGGTTTCTCGGCCTCGACGGTTGCGTTCGGGATTTGGTTTCGATGGCAGATACCGGAAAATATTGTTGGTGACGATTCAAAATAGGATTGGAGCGCCACACTTATTCAAAGGCATAGCGTGGGGGAGGCTTGCCATTTGGAAATACTGCTTTGAAGAAAAGCCAGACAGGAGTTGCATTCTTCAATTCGTCTAGAGACAGCAGGCGACTTGTCATTTGTGACAAAAACAGCTGGGCGGGATGTTGCTTTTGGTACTGGAAGGAATGGTCGCGTTTTAGGGGACGGTTTTGTGGATTTAGCTACTTTGGAACGGTAGCTGGCAACTTCTTTGTTACGCTGCTCATTGGTGCGCAAGCGTTTTGCCGGTGTAGTGATCACTGTGTCATCATTTGTGGGTTGTTGAAGTGAGCTCACACCAAATTGAATTGTATTCGTGTGGTTGTCGCTTGACGTTGTACGGACGCGGGATTCAAGGTCCACGGTTTTTCTTGTAGCGTTTTTATTAGGTCATTGAGCGTTGCCATCGACTTGAGTATATTTGTTCAGTCCTCTGGTGAAGAGGATTGTGTGCCAGACACATTGGTAGGGGCTGGTTAATCGATGTCAACTTGTTAGCTATATTAACATTGCTTTTTGAATATATATTTTTTCTTTGAATAGCAAATAATTTGGTCAGTGGATGTGTAATTTTCAGAAGGCTATATGCAGTGAACGACAAAGAGAATAATCGATGCAATTGCCCAAGAATTTTCTCTCCAATTATTGTCAGACACTCGATATGACCCCGGTAAAGCGTTATTAATGTTCGGAATACGATAATACTGTTGATTGTCATCTTTCCTCAAACTGATTATAATCCAGATAGCTGGAAAGAACTGAAATCCACGCCACCATGAGGAATGCTAAAAAGTAGAACTTCGAGTCCGGAACAATTTAAAGCCGGAATCATCTGTTTTACCACCTCAAATCGAAGCGTGCATATTGCCGCCTTGCAAGTCCCGGTAAAATTTACAGATGGGAAAGATATTTTGGAAGGATTTGAGCTACATAGCTCATTTGTCGGGAGCTTTCGTTTGCACACTTTGATAATCTTATTGTATAGGAAACACTCCGACGTTTTTGTAAACGGTGTCGGTTGTTGCCCACGGTGGTTGCTCGTGACATCATCTTGCATTGTCAACTAAATATTCTGTGTGGTTGATGAGTAGTCAGGGTCGTTCTTAACGGGAAGGCTTCGCTAAAGCAATTTATTGAAAGTTCATTTGCTACAAAATATGATACAGTAATATTTACCTAATTCATATCTTTGATCCATTCTGTTTTGGTATATTTTTTTTCGCGAAGAAAATACCGGAATTTCCATGATTTACTTTCATGCTTTGGGTGTTTACTTTTATTCATCGTATAACTAGCCTATATAATACGATTGCGGGTCAGCGCTCACACTTGTGTGACAATTCACGGCCCAATAAATTTGACTGATGAAATTTATTTGGAAACCTCAGATTACCATGCAAGTATGTGAGTAGCTTTCACCCAAGATAACATATTGCTCAAACTTTATGCCATCTTTTGGTGGTGGCCAGCAAGCATCAATCTCACTCCACCAAAACGTAATTAGTGGTGTCAGTGCGAATGCAGGGTATCGGCATCGTCAGCGGCGTGGCGATCTTCCCGCTTATATTGTTACTTTGATAATAGTCTGTCAACGCTGGGATTGACGGGAATCGATGATTGTCCAGCACGTACTCGTTACCCTGGGACGCAATGTTCATGTGAAGAACTAAACCACCAAATCTGATATGTGTAAATGAAAGGCAGGCAAAACGGTCAATTTTCGACTTTCGAGTATATCAGAAAGGCGAAAGTGGAATCGATACCCAACATACTGTTTAGGAGGTAATTTTTTGTTTAGGAGGTACAGTTTAGGAGGATAAAAAAAAACATGTGTAGAGGCAATGTAGAATGAGATACGAACTACACAGATCAGTTTACCGGAGGCATATGGTTGAAAAGCATATACGTGCAATGAACACACGATTGACCGGGTCGAATAAATGGGAATTACATGACCGTTGATGTTGATGATAAATGGGAACTACATGACCGTTGATGTTGATGATAAATGGGAACTACATGACCGTTGATGTTGATTTGATTTGGCGACAGTCTTATACAATGGCTATTTGCACAACAGAGATTAAATACGAATTGTAGATTTTGATCCTACGAAGCACACTCAGTCTGATTTGGGGGTTTGTCTATACGTTGCATCGAGACTTACAAGATCGAAAGGACGAATTGGTGCTTCCTGTGATTGTAGCGCACTAGCCATGCACCATCAGGCTGTCTTTCAAAGAAAGTGTGAATGTAATCCCGCCGTCTCTTTTGTTCTTCTTCAGAGTCGCCTTGCATCTCCGTGGGTATAGTAAGAAACCAGCTAGAAATAGATGCAAATATTGACAGCGGGGTCGATTTAGCATATAATATAAAACATGATACACCCAATCATCTGCTTATACTTCAATCGTACCAGAAATAAATACAGAGCCTCCTCATTTATGAGAAGCTTATGTCAGATTAAATTCTTAGAAAGCTCACGTATATGTACAATATCACACTACATATATCATATATGCAACGGGGTTTGCTTCCAGGATATTCCCATGAACAAACAAACGCATTGTCAGCAAGCGAATCGCTTCGTTGTTTTGAGACAGTAAAGGAACAACAAGCGCTTTATAATAGATTTAATGGGTGAAAACGTTCACATCAGAGATCGTAAGGTTACTAGAATATCCAACATACGCACAATGCATCTCACTCAATTACGACCACATTCTGCAATAAACGGCACACGGAATCATATTGCTCGTTTAAAGCTTGAATTTAGCTGGGATAAAAAAAAGAAAAAAAAAGAAGAAAAAAAACAAATACACACTTACCGATACTGTGTCATATTGGCCGGTGTCGGCGTCTGCTGTTGCATATCCGAGTATCCGTCATACCTGTTTGTTTGCGGACCAGGGTACCAATTATTATCTAAGGGCCTGCGTGGGTCACCCTGTTGGTTCCGATTATGCGGGGAGCCCCTGGGATCCACACTCTGTGATGTGGTGAGGCGCGACTGTTGTTGTGACGGATTGACATGGCCCCCATACATCCCATCCATGTTATTCGGATACGGTGGCCTGTCCCAGTGGCCCTGTGACTGTGAATGGCCATGCTGTTGTTGTGGTGGCATTGCGGACGAGCTGTATACCGCACTCTGGTGTGCGCCGTTGTGCATGTAGTACCCATCGTCGGTGAGTTGTGGCCCACCAAGATTACTCACGTACCTCACGGACATCACATTGGGGTCCATACTTTGTGGCCTGTGCAGTTGGGTGTTTTGATTAGACCCATTATACGAGGAGAACTGCTGAGATACGGCCATGGGTGGCCCGCTCGGCTGATATATCTGCGGCATGTTCGACGGCTGCCTGCCCGAGATGTTGCTGTTCTGGTGCAAATCCCCGTTCCAATTGCCACTGTTGTTTCCTATATTACTTCCCGGTTGGCGTCCGCTGTGTGCCTGCTGTTGCTGTTGCTGGTGATGATGATGTTGTTGCTGATGTTGTTGCTGGTGCTGTTGATGCACGGGTTGTTCTGCGACTGATCGCATGATACTATTGATTGGCGATAGCGGTTGTTTGTGCGGGCTCTTGGGTGACGTAAAGTCGCCGCCAGGCGCGTAGTCATTGACACTCATGCGCACAACACTGGGAATAGGGTTGGACGTGTGTATGCGGTCATGCGTGGTTGACATGATGCTGCCCATGCCCGACATATCGGGGGAGGCTGGTTTAGATCCCTGGAGTACCTCGAACTGGGACTCGTTCCTCTCAGCCTCTTCTCGCATATTATTGCTCCAAAGCGGCACACTGGGATTCCTTTGCACCTGGAATGTCCCAGGCGACGAGCTCATAATGGCCTCCATACCCATCCCTCGACCATCCCCACCGGACATGCCATCAGCATGCTGTGTGTTCCCGGTACCACTGTAACTGCGCGTGGAGAGCACACTGTCGGTGGGTTTCACCACATTGTGTGGTCGCATGCTCGGCAGTGGCGTCGTAGTGGGGCTGTGATTGCCATGGTAGAGGTTATCGGCCGAAGTGCGTCGCACAGGCTCCGTTTGCAGCTGCAGACTGTTTTGATTATTGTTATACTGTTGCTGCTGATGCTGATGCTGTGATGAGGCGAATTGTGGTGTAGCCGACAAAGCCGTGTCTTGGCGTGGCGTGCGCTGGTGTATGTTGGATGTACTGGTCGACTGACTCATCAGCCGTGGCTGTACCTGCTGCACCTGTGTGATCAAGTGTTGTTGGTAGCTGGGATGGTTTAGGGGGTATTGGTACCCATCCAGCTTCACGTCTTGTTGCTGAGCTGGCGTGCCATTATTGCTTGGCGTTGTTTGGCTCTGCTGTAGTTTGTTGGGCGTCTGTTGCCTGCTCAGCGGGCGTTCCGCACGTCCATTGCTTCCCTCGCAGCTGTTACGCTTACTAGAGACGCTTGTACTTTCCTGTCGGTTATGTTGGCTCGAATCCGTCCGCACAAACTCGTGCGTGTTGAAGAATTGGTCACTGCCTTCGGTACAGTCATCGAGGGCAAAGGGTTTGAGTGTGACTATCACTTTTATGATCGAATGTACACCTGTGAAGTCGAATTTCTTGGTCGTCCCAACTTTGGCCTCTATCCTGCCTGTGGGGGGTAACCTGTATGATATTTTATCTATGGCGGCATTCCAATTGGTAACGAGCATTTCCGACTGTGAAATGAAGAGGTTGCGATAGATTAATGGTCACACTCTCACATCTGACTGTATGAGTCATATACACTGCATGGAACCCGACGGTACTGCTTGCACAACGATATTTCAGGCTACCTGTGCGTGCGCGTCCATATTCAGCAAATACACCATCGAGTCAAAGATTTCATGATATAGCAAGACTGAAAGAGATAAAAAACGTGATATCCAATAAAATACGGCGTATAGGCGGGTGTACGTGTCTCGTATTACGCGAGAGAAGTGAGTAGAGCTCCATGTCAAACTATAAGCGTGCGCTATAATCTTACTTATAGATCGAGAGTGTAGAGCCTATTGATAGTTTTTAACAAACATGATGGCATTCGAAACACGTAGATGAATGATATATGCAGTTGTGTATGCATTAACATACCTAAATGCATGGATATACACAATGTAAATGCATTTATACGATGAGCACAATTAATACGATTACAAAGATAATAAAAAAAATTTATATATATATATATATATATCTATATAAATAAAAATATATATATACACGAATGTACACAGATGATCATCCATATAGATAGGGTTTATGCGTCTATATACTTTCAAGAGTAAGTCAGGTATGCATTCTGATACCGCTTGTACACGCGTGATACAAGCCGAATATTGAAAAAAAAAGAAGAAGAAAAAAAAAGCGATTTTTAGCCAGAATATCAATCAAAAACGATGCGAATCATGTACAAGCAAGCTGAAATACGATTCCTGTTCAAAAGTTCATGACGAGGCTTGTCTCTGCCTAATTTGCAATACCTTTTGAACATTTTTCCTATTAATATTTAGTTCTCGAACAAGGGCTTCGAGATATGCCCACTCAACTTCCACCAACTTCTGCTGAGTAATTTTATTCCTGGAGAGAGATGGATCGGATATATCATATTAAGGTGGGTTCTCTCACCAGTAAGGCTGTAAAACACGAACCACTTGTGCGACTCCACAATACAGTAAAACGACCCGCGGCGTATGCTAAATTTCGGAGAATGAGTCCATACAATCGGTGGTAGATAAATCGATAATCTTCAGTATCGTGGAAAGCTCCAGAGCAAACAGACTGCCCCTTTTCAGTGAGATTCATGACAAGACCGTATATAGAAACGCGTATACTCTACGTAAACACAATGCACGCATGTGCATCTGTCCGTTAATCTTCAAAAATTCATCGGGCCTTCGAAATCATATTGTAATATAATCCACTCATTCCTCCTGAAGTCTAAAAGTGCTCCCAATAAGAAGGAAAATGTCCTCTGAGGAGAGCATACAGTTAGCCCGACATTGACCGCAGGACACACAAAACCAGACTTAAGGCAGTCAGTCCCAGCGTTTCCAAAACGACCATTAGTCGCGAATGAGCGGCACACATTCAAATCACGAAAACATTGCACAGTCCAAATACATCAGTACGCCACTGGCACGATCCGCAGACGCTTCGTATATAAGAAGTGCCACAGAAGTAAATATGGCTATCAGTGAAGGCATGAGGTACAACAAAACCTAGTGAAACTACTCATATGACACAAATACATACAGTCTCAGATGGATGTCTGAGTCATCCGCATTCTTCAGCTTTCTCGAGCTCATCTCAGCGATAACAAAGTCGGTCATGCTCTCA